AAACGCTTACCTGCGGATCGGAAGGTCGTGGGTTTGGTTCCTGACTTTTTAAAAAAATGACCTTGGCTCTGGTCCACCCAGAGTGGGTACCAGGTTCAGCCATAGGGAGTAAAGGCAGCCAGCATGATGCTGACCACATCACCCAGCCAGTGCCGATTGGTCTATAAAAAAAAAACAGGTTTCGCCCTTTATGCCTAATACGTCTGAAGGCATGGAAAAGGGTCCTTTACTTTTACCACATGACATATAATGGTACAGCAGGATGGTAATGGTGATAATTCTATAAATTCTTAAAAGCAGCATGAATAAACAAAATTCCTTATAAGCAGCAAGCATAAACAAAATTCCTTATAAGTAGCAAGCATAAACAAAATTCCTTATAAGCAGCATGAATAAACAAAATTCCTTATAAGTAGCAAGCATAAACAAAATTCCTTATAAGCAGCAAGCATAAACAAAATTCCTTATAAGCAGCAAGCATAAACAAAATTCCTTATAAGTAGCAGGCATAAACAAAATTCCTTATAAGTAGTATGCATAAACACTCAATATTTTAAAATATATACAAAATTACCCACACAGGTATATTACATGCAAAGCATAATACTAATACACAGTTGATCACCGGGAATAACAGAGTGTAAAATGTAGGGAACAAAACAAAATAAAGATGGGTTAATGCCTTCTAGTCACCATTCATAATTGCTGTCACTAATGTACACACACACACACAGGTATAGAGATACACTAGAGATACACTAACAATGAGCTCTAATCAATTAAAGAAACTAAGCTTCAACTTTAAAGATATTTGGCAAAAGGAGTTCCCAACTGAAAAATGAGGCAGCTTCCAGTCTTTCACAAGACTGTGATATTTATTAGCTGTTTTATTTCCCACTTCTTATACACAGAGTGAAAAAAACAAAAGGACCCTTTCTACATAATTAGTGCATCAAGCATTTGGTGGTGGACCCATATTTTTATACAGCAAAAAGCAATTGATTAATTCTGTGATCAACTTCTTGTCGGTCACCTTTACTTTCCAGGACATTTCCCAATTTTTGGGTAGGTCAATCTGGAAGGGAGTGCCCCGTCAATTACAAAAATCTGCTCCAATGCGGATTTGAACCTAAGAACAATGAAATATACTTAATGATTTAATGCTAGTGATGAAAGGTCAGTTTTTGAGACAGTCCATCATTCAGTAGCTTGTCCTATACGAGACTACACAAGTATGTCTACAAAGCTTTATCACAAGTCAGACGTTCTGCCTCCACTGTAAACACTGCCTATATCCATCATCTATCAACAAGCCTCCTTCACACCCAGATACAATATCTTGTGTATATAATAGGATTGTTTTCTTTACTTGTCTCCTTCATCTGAAACATAAATAAAACAAGATGAAACTCTTGAAATAATTGCTACCCTGATCACAACATAAAGAAAACTATTATTTCAATAGTAAGGAAGCAATGTCATTTTCGTTTATTTTTCCCAGCTACCTGAACGTATAATCAACCCTGAGACTTCAAGAATCCCTATATACAAGGGGGCGTTAAATGAAACCCTTGCAAGTGTGATCGAAATTGTAATAACCATACCATTGTCTCGCAACAAGTCACTACTGCATAGTTAAGGATCTGTCAGAAGATACTGCAGAAATACCAGAAAGACTCTAAAGTACAATACACTAAAGCGAATAGAAGGACCCGTTCCAAAGATCTCTTCCTCCTCTGATGCTGCGAGGCATTCCAGAAGCAGAAGTAAGAAGAATGATGATGACAAGTGTGTTAAGCAGGTAACATCATGGAGAAGATGAACATGGTGACAAGATGACAGTTTAAAGATGGCCACCCCACTTCTGACATGCACCAAAGAGCAGTGTTCTGTTATCCATTGTTTGACCAGTAAAGGAGTGAAACCTATAGAAATTTATCAGTGAATGAAGATCCAGTAGGAGGATGCAGGCCTGTCAGTCCAGCAAGTGTATGAGTGCAGTAGCAAGTTTCAAAAATGGCTGCAATTGACTAGTCACTACCTGATGTGCCTGACCGGTCGTGAATAGTCTGTCACAGAAATCACCTCATTTTGAAAGCAGCTAACAAAATAGACATTTCCAGTGAGGAAAAAAAGTTATCTTTTAACATTTAAGGAAAACTAATATTCATTGTTCATTTCAAGATCATATTCACTGCTCATATCTATATGTTAAATGCTGAATTAAGAATCAACATCACAGCACTCGGGACACTCCCATAAGTGCTCCATCCCCATCTTCAGCAGCAAGCAAAGAGTTCCAATTCCAACGGCACCAGTAACTGTCTGATTGTATATCTGTCTCGCCTTTCTCTTGAGCGTTAAGCATCGACCAGATCCCCTGATAATTTCTTGCAGCGCTATTCTTTTCGGACCGTAACGATCTATTTGTGGCTCTGCACTATTCACTCGCTCCCAAAGGCTCTCACAACATATGACTTGTCATATATAAATTCACCACCATGTGGTGCAGAACCACCTAGTCTATCTGCTGCTCATTTCTCAACACACCGGCATGACCTGGAGAAAATATCCAAAGGATGCTAACTACCCAGGACCTCTGGGACCTTTTGGGATAAACCATCATAAATACAATGTGCTAATAGTTTGATCCAGGTGGTGCAATGTCTCATGAGGATACTCAATTACAAACCTGTCCAGCAGTTGGCATGATTCCTACTAAAATGTGAAATATATTTCAAGGCTTTTTGAACTAGTACAAAAATCTTAGGTTATTACAATGACAAACTATTCATCATCATCATAGGCTATGCCCCTAAGCGTTGTTGGCATCTTTACGCCTTTCAAGATGATAAGTGTTATAATGTGCTATAGGAAGGTATGAGATTCACAGCCAATGGCGATGGTGTGTGTGACTAGCAAGACCCATCTACGTCAATTTGAACATGAGATTTCAGGACCGCCGTTACCATCACATGTATTTAGCGTGTTTCTTCTCAGACATTCAGCTCTCAATCTTTCTCTAATCATCTGTTTCCTGTATTCCTATTCCCTTCTCGATTTCCCTCCCCCTTCCTCTTTTCTACTCAACATAGTCCATGAAAGGCTATTCTCCCAGCTGATTTGTCACCACAAACAATCACCAGAATCATGGAACAGTTTAGTGTTTTTAGACTAAACAAGACATCTGACCATACCATGGTACTGACAGAGTTAACATCTCAACTGGTGCTTGATGGGCGATGTATTTAATACCAAAGCAGCCAACTTTACTTTCCACAACATTTCCTGGTTTCCGTTTTAGGCTGGATCCACCTAGGAGCGCAGGTTAATTTTACAATTCTGCAGTTGAGATTCAATCCTTCACCACTGTGGTATTCATTCTTTTTAATACTATTACTGTGGGATTCAATCCTATTCAAGGTGTAACTAGCTTTTATTTTAATTTTTTAAATGTCACAGCCTTTGCACCATCTTGCTTGAAGTTTCTTACCTTCCTCCTCTTCATCATCGTCATCATCAGAGTCATCCTCAGAGTCATCAGAATCATCATCGTTATCTTCATCAGACTCAAAAGTGTGGTCAGGGATGTCATAGATTCTCACAACAGGCTGCAACAGAGTTAAATTCACTGATTTACCTTCCGACTCACCCAGACTGAAATAAACAAGGCCAAACAAATAACCGTGTGGGTTCCTGGGTCCCATTTGGGGAAGAAGAATTAAGCCACCACGCTCCTCCCTTTCCAACAAGCATGTCGTAAAAGGGAACTAATGCTGACTGCTTCCTTCAAAAGTCAAAGAATGAGTAAAAAGTAAAGGATCCTTTTCCATGCCTTCAAGCATACTGGGCATATAGGGCTAGACCTATATTTTACTCTATATTTATAGACTAACTGAAACTCATTGACCAATATAGTAAGTATGTTTGTGATGTGGTCCAACATCATGCCAGGTTAGGTTTGGTTGGCTTGAGAGCTAATATCAATGATTAAATAATTTGCTGTGGTGCAGATTCAAACACAAGACTCTCAAGCTATCAGGCAAGTGTCTAGCTGCTGCAGCAATAATGTCATGGATGTCCTGGTTTCCTCAATCCATTTGTTCTTCATTTAAGTGCCTATTGAAAAGCTGCAGTAATGTAGCGGCTAGATGTTTGCCTGTGGATCCGAAGGTCATGAGTTCAGGTCCCGAGGGAGCCGGACAGTTTTCAGAAATTACCTTGCCTCCCGGGTCAACCAAGCTTTAAATGGGTTCCAGGTTAAGTCCTAAGAAGTACAGGCAGCCAGCACGATATTGACCACATCGCCCAACAAGTGCCAATTGGTCTATAAAATATAGGTCTAACCCTATATGCCCTAAGGTGTGTAGAAAGACCCTTTACTTTTTTTAAGTGCTTGTCTTGTGATTCTCTGTCAGTTTTTCCTTAAGGTGGGCCTAATTTTTCACTATTCTCTTTGTCTTTTGACTGTTGCTATGAGCAGCTGTCCAGACATTTCTCTTTCTTGAATTCTTCCGATTTAATGTTCATCATTTTACTTAGGCATTTGTTTTTGAATGCAGCTGACTTTCATTCCATAAATGTTCACAACAAACAATATGTTAACATGGTCCTTTATTAATAACTTACCCCAGATGATGTCACAGGACAGTCCAACATTTTAGAGGGTGGTAAGACTGGGTTTCCTGGCTTTCAATGTTTTTAATGATATCAAAACATCTAGAACTGGCCCAAACCCCAACCCACCTACGCTCTACAAGACAGTGCAGCCTAGGTCCCAAGAATTAGTGCATCCTAGATTCCACGACTGCATGCAGTCTATCTACCACCCCCTGAAATATCAGACTGTCACGTGACCTTTGGATTTCCCTGTTTGGGGTAGGATATTAAGTTAGCACCATTAACATTTATGAATATCTCACAGGTTAAATGTTGAGTTAACTAGGAACATGTAATATTCTACAAGAGAGGAGCTCAGGTCAAGATACACAGTTTCTTACCTTGTTGGGATCTTTCATAATCAAATATTTTCCTTCCTTCAGTTTCATGCAGGTGTCCACGATGCAGCGCAGGATGCCCCAAGCATTGTCCATGTTCAAGTTGATCTGGCTGGCAAACTCTACCGGCTTGAACTGCTGGGTTCCCAGAATCACGTGCTTGGCTGTGTCTTTGACATGTAAACGAGACACATAGCTGTGGATTGAGCGTGATATACTTTGACGAGATCTGAGGCAGAGACGAATGTAACCACAGACTGAGCATGATATATTTCTATATGTTTGATCCTTATCATCATCCTGCTATGCCATTGTATGTCACATAGGGCTCAGAATTATTTCTTTCACTGTTCTATCCTATGCAATTGTTTCAATTTCCAGTCTAGAATCTTTGGCTTCTCTCACCATTTATCTTAGGTCTTCTTCTGAGTGTTCTTACCTCATCAGTCCATTTGTTTCTTATTTAAGTGCCTGTTTAGTGATTCTCTGTTTCCTTTTCCTCAGGCTGTGCCTAATATCTTCTTTGTCCTACAACTGTTGAGACAAGAGGTTATCCAGATAAATTTTACCGATCACTAAGAAAGATAAATTTTGACAGACTCTAGAACATTCTAGTAAGAAAGAAAAAGAGAGAGAGAGAGAGAGAGAGAGAGAGAGAGACAGAGAGACAGAGAGAGACAGAGAGACAGAGAGAGAGGGAGAGAGAGAAAGAGAGAGAGAGAGAAAGAGAGAGAGAGAGAGAGAGAGAGAGAGAGAGAGAGAGAGAGAGAGATTGACAGAGATTGACAGAGAGAGACAGAGAATGCAAACAAAATCAGAAAAATCATACAGCAATTCTTATATTTATGGGATTCTTCTTACCCAAACTTGATCTGGTCAGACCCTGCTAGAAGTGCACAAACAGTCCACTTGGCCAATTTGCAGCTATTGTTCTTTAACTCTGTAGCCAGAACTGCGCCACGCTGAGTGTCTAGACGGCTTCTCCAATCCACACCCCCTGCGAACTACAAGCATATGAAACTATAAGAACACTGAACCACTTAGTTGCTTTAATTCTTCTTTGTCTTCTTACAGTCCATGCTGTTTGTCTACTTCCTTCTTCAATCATTTCTAAAAGAGATGTTCTGCACAATTTATTGACTGGCACATTTCAGTGTAAACTGTCCCTATGAGTGTTTAGGAGGACTGGATGCGAATATATTAACTAAATACAGCATTTAGAGGGGTTTTCTTGAGACCCCAAAGGCTTTTAAAAGCCAGGCTGACTTAAAATTTTCCCTTAAGCCTCAGAGATGGAGGTCACGGCATGAGTTATGATCCCAATGAATGCATTCTACTTAATGCTTCACTCTGTTCTTGTTTACTGATTAATCCTTTTATACATCTTTATATATTTCAAAACAAATTTAAAACAAACAGATAAATAAATGTTTTAACAATTTATTAGTTATCTGTGTAAAACAGTTATTTTATTTTTTTAAAGGATTTTTGGGGGGAAATTCCCACGGGTTCATGACCCATCGGCTTTTTCCCCTCTCAGGGCGAAAAGATTAACAGACACTACATTACAGAAGTTGCCATCTGTGAGTGACTTACTCTGGAGTCCCATTCATTAAGGGCTTTGACGTTCATAAATTGTATTTCGTTATTTGGGCCATATGTCACAGCATCATGCTCTGTCCTTGAAATCAGCACAATATCATTGCCCAGATCCCATTTCCGGTACCTGTGATGCGAATGAACATATAAGTTTTTACTCTTTTAGCACCAGAGAAGTTATCTTGGTTCATTATCCTTCCTAGCATTCACTGGCTGTATACTCTAGTGGAAAGTTCTGGCTATTTCGTCATTTTCTGGACTTTGGTCCTGTTGCAAAACTTGAGTTTTGCGTGCACATCTGTTTCACAGATCTAGCTCATTTGTGTTGTCGGTTTTTTTTTAACCCTCAGGCAGATGTACCCTGACTTTAAAAAAAATAAAAACCTAATTAGTTGTCTTTTATGACATGCTTGTTGGGGGGAGGGGATGGATGGGGGAGCAGATCTATTGTTTTTTTCTGAGAACCTTTACTGGGAGGATTCATTCTATACAAGTTAGTTGCTTTTGCTTTACAGCATATTGTAAACCACCTCGCCCCCCAAACCCACTTGTATTTGTTGGTTGGTTGGTTGGTTGGTTGTGATTTTACTAAGCAATCTTACATTCAATAGTCTGCAAGTGCTCACTTCACAGTCAATGCTCATGGCTATTGCTGAAATAACTACAAAGCAATGTGCTGCCAAATCTCTTGCAGCTGAATGTAACCAGGCATTTTGGAACTATGTAACCTTGTGCATAAGCCCTCAGTACAGACGTGAATACTCTACATATGATATACATTTTTAAACTTCTTTTGTCCCATTCTTCTGTTACTCTGATCTCTGCTAATCCTATCCAACCGCTACTTTAACACCTTCGGCAATACAGCTGTTATAATTTTACTTATTAACGCTCAAAGATTGTTTTCACAGAGTATACAAATGCTGGCAAAGACATGTTGACGTCATAACTATCTGAGACAGTAACTTTGTTCCCTTTTCAGTCACTGCTTTGTTTTTCAGTGTCATGTTTAGAAAAGACATACAGAGGCATCTCCACTGGGTGCTCGAAACATAGTGGTTTTCAGTCTCAGTATTGGTTTTTGTTTTCTCTCTTTCTATTGTATCTAAATGCTACATCTCTTTGTGGGGTACTACTGTGTAACAATCTTGTTAGAAGACATCATCTTCTTTTTCATGTTTACCAGCTTTAAACTTCGGCACAAAGTTTTGGTTGATCATCCACTTCTGGAATTTAGTCTTGTTTCAGTTCTGAGTGCACATCAGTTTTATAGATCTGGTTTATCTGCATACAGACTGTTGGTTCCCAGCCTCTCAGGTAAATGCACTCTGACTTCATAGGAAACACCCTTGATTAGTCACCTGTTAGGGGTCGGAGGGGCTAGCCTTGTCCCCCCCCCCCCCCCCCCCCCCCCCAATGAGGCCCTGAAACCCTCACAGGAAATCTGTCCTATTTCAATGACCCTAAGGACTCCTCAATAATTTATAAGAAAGGCAGTCTGACAAGGCACCTGAAACTCTTACCTGTAGCCAACAGAGGCAACCTCAGACTCCTCCTCTCCTTGGACAAACGGATTTGGTTTCTCAAAGCTGTACTTCTCTTCATTCTATCGCGTGATGAAAGCAAAAGACAGTTTCTTTCAATAAGATTGTCTCTCACTGTGTAATCAGTTTACCAAATAAATGAATGAATGAATAAACTCTATTTTCACAGAGTCCCAAATTGGGCACACAGGTCTGTATTTCATTCTGCTCTTCCAATCACTCATACAATATGTATTTTATTTATATAAGTTCATTTAGCAATATACATAATATGAATACTAAGTACTCACATATATACAGCATGGCTTAGCAGAGGGGAAGAGGAGGAGAGGCAGACCAAGAAAGATCTGGATACAGAACTTGACTGACCAGAAAGGCCATAGGCATGCAACCATTTCACTGCATGTGATCATCAAAGATGGAAGGAGCTGATCAGACAGTCAGCAACAACTAGTGACCCAGGACATGAAAAGTGTAATGGGACGACGACGACGATGATGAAATACAAAGAGAAAGGTGTGGTATAACAATTACATACTTAAGGATCCTTTTTCCTGGAACGTGAATGAGTAACTTCTGATTGGTCTAACTATACTCCTTCTTTAGTTAACAGGTCTATTCATTCACTGTTTGCAGCAATATTTGTGATGATCCAGTAAGGCAGATTCTGTTGACAAAATTCTCAATCTGGGGATATTTTATTTTTCACAACATACAAAGCCAGAAAATTTAATAATGATTCAGATTTTATATCCAAAGCAAAAAGGCAACCATGAAGGAAAGCACTATTGTCCAAACAGGCATCATTTATCTATGGTCTGGCCAAACCGTAAAGCCGCTCCGTCAGGAGAAAACAAGCAATCAACCAATTTGTTTAGCTAGTGAATTCTGCATTGTTATTAATGCAGCATGGGCCCAAGGGTGAACATTAAATATGTTTTAAACTTGGCAAAATCCCTTCAGACAGCTGAACTGATGAGATAAGTTAAGGTTAAATTAGGGGTTAGCTGAATTTAGATGTGTCAGGCAGAAATTCAGATATTGCAGTCTAGCTGTAAACCACAACACAACAATGGCATGTCACGCATAAGAAGAAGCAGAAACTTCCTTTCCACAATAATGAGTGACTGAAACCACAGAGAAATTTCCCTGTACTCACCATCCTTAGAACTTGCTGCGAGAAGTTGTGATTAATGAAAGTTGCCTCTAAAGCCAAGCTTCTTGGGGAGTTGATGCTTGCAGTGCCATCATCCTGAGGGGGTTCTGTGGCCGTTTCACTAACAGTCAGCAGATCAAAGTCAGAATCATCTCTCTTGTCAAAGAAAAGCTTGTTTCCAACACGCTGGACCACAATATCCCAAGAGTAGGATGACCGGGGGCAACACATCATAGTGGCTAAGATGGCGTCAGTGGCAAACACATTACCTTGTGTCTTGGCTAGCTGTGGACATGAAATATGTCAGTACCTTGAGTTAAGAAATCAACACATTATGTGCAAAAGAACATCATGTCTCCCCCCCCCCCCCCCCCCTCCCCCCCAAGCAACACCACCTATGAAACAGGATTTACTTGTCTACCACAACAAATCTAACAAGAACTATTTTTGGCCATCTTTATGCTACCGGTGTCAAGCAGGGACTTTTACTACAACTAATCAGCACAGAATTGTAACAACAGAGATGAGACAGCTTAGAAGAGATGCACGAGTAACAAGAAAAGATAACATTAAAAACGAAGAAATCAGAAAAAGACTAGGACTGAAACTTAGTCATACAGTTCACTAAAGAGCAACAGATGAGAGGGTCTGGCCATCCAAATGAGAGAACACTGGTATTACCACAGAGATCTATGCTGAAAAAGTACAATGAATAACAGAGCAAAGGGAAGACCACACAAAATATGCAACAATAGCTTTTAAAAACAGCCTTAAAAAAATTAAGATCAACTTACACAACACATTCAAAAGAGCACCCCTAAAAATTCTCCCCCCCCCCTTTTTCCATCCCCTTTCCGTTTTTTTTACAAGCAAGGTGTGAATATAAAATTTGTGATTAACACTAACTTACTGATTAATATTAACTTCATAACTCTGACTCCTGGCCAGCTATGGATATTAACAACACTCAATACAAACACACAGATAACTTCAGATACATAGGCAAAGAATAAATTAGGCAACAATGTAGCCATTTTATCACCACTGTGATGTTAAAAATGATAAGGAAAACAGCTGGCTCAGACAGAAGAGACAAAATCATAATTTACGACATTAGATAAAACTGATAGATAGAATGAACGAACAAACTTTATTTTCAAAGACAGACACAAATAAAGCAGTTTGGATGACATCTGAGAATGTAGACTGTTCAGCTACCTCTTTATGCCTACTTTAAAAAGCAAAAAAGTATTCACTGTGTACATATTTGTGTACTGGTATATGTTCTACCACATTTAAGGATGTATCTTCCCTGTAGCAACCTACAGACGTGTGTCACAGACTACCTTACAGTCCTTAAGGAAGGAAATAGGGACTTTTGAACCAAAATGCTGAAGAAAGATTCTCAGAATACCAAAGACAAAGAAGAAAATAAAAATACTGACATCCTAAAAGATTTGAACATCAAGGAAGATTGTCGACTAAACAGCATCTTGTCCCGGAAAGTGAAATATTTTGGCCATATCAAGCACCATGGCAGATTGGAAAAAATAATAGCAGAAGGCATGGTACCAGCAAAGAGGAGGGGCAAGGCCAACCAGCATGAAGATGGACACAGAGTATAAGTGACACCCTGGGTAGGAAAGTGTACGAGGGAGGCAGGAGACCCAGTTTCTTTCAGGCAAATCGTGATGAGAGCGATGTCCTGCAAAGAACCTGCTACATGATGATGATATTTGAGGAAGTTACTTATTCCAGTAATAATATGTGTAGTATACCTAGCCACTAATTACTGCACGAGCACAATGTAAAGCTGCTTGTTTTTTTTTTTTTTAAGTACCAAAATATTTTAATCTCCACAATGAAAATCGTCTGAAGTGGATATATGCACCCCTGTTCTCTTTAGAAAAACTATGTGCTGAAGCATCAATTCCATCCACACTGTGACTCTCAAACCACTGTCAGAAAGCCATAAGTGTGATCCTTTACTAATCAGCCATATTCTGAAAGCCAAAAGAATTGTCTTTCCCTAAGCCACAGGCCAGGAAAATCATACCCTGGTTATCCAAGATTGGATTGTGAAATAATTTTCCTCTAAGCCAGTAGTTCTCAATTCTCCTAATGCTGTGACCATTTAATACAGTTCCTCATACTGTGGTGACCCCCAACCATAAATTATTTTAATTGCTACTTCATAATTTCAGTGAATATGTGTTCTTCGATGGTCTAAGGCGACCCAAGTGAAAGGGCTGTTGGACCTACAAAGAGGGTCACGACCCACAGGTTGAGAATCGCTGCCTTAAGCCTCGAAGTGGCATCAAATCACAATTGCATACCTGTCTGATAATAGGATCATCTGTGGTGGTCACTTTGTGAAAGATGCGATTGATTCTCCGCAAGCGCTTTTCATTTTTAGTGTTGACTCTATCATATGACTTGTCATAGAACTCCATGGAGCCACAAGTCACCCTGAAAAACAATATACAGCTGAAATTATTATGCTATTACCTAAATAACAGAATGAAAAAATCTCTAATCAGAACATGTTCAGTTTTTTGTATCCACCTTGTGGATTGGCCTCTGTTTTGTTTTCCAGAAACTGCCACTCTATCATTGTTCTCTTCATACCACCATGGCACTTGATATATCCAAAATACCTCAATAAACTCAAATTTTCAACTCCAAAAACCGAGTAAGAGTCCAGAGTGCTGACTGATCTATACCAAAAATATGGGTCTAACACCAGTCCGATGCACCAACGGCTGAGAAGAATCCGTCACTTACTTTTACTTACTTTACAAGGTAAGTAAACAGTTTTTGGATATGTAAACTAAAAAAGGGTTGTTGAGTTTTCTACCTTCTCCTTATAGTTCACACTCATAACGGTACTGGTTTTTGCAGTTCCAACTTCATCATAAATGAGTATACCCCACAGCTGCTCCATTCCTGCGCCAACAAAAATCACACAGAATGTCCATCCCTGTTCCTTGTGAAAACAAAATGGACACAGACTACAATCTCAACAAAGCCAATAGCATACACACATTAAATGCATAAGGCAGCCACCACCGGAAGTGCCAACAATAAAACTGCAGTTCATCATCAACGGAAGCAGGAAATAAACAGATCAGTAGTTGCACACACAATTAATCGCAATAGGCACCACCAGTTCTCAGGCAAAAATCACATTAGGCACAGTTGAAAAGCATTCCAAATGATCGACTACTAATAATGTCATGCCATGCACTTAACTCAGTAGCTGGGCAATGGAACTATATCCTTTCAGTCTACTTATAGAGGGAAATGTAACCGCTAACAACTATAAGAAAACTTGCCATGACCTGCCTTTCTGCCATACTGACCGAAAGTCTATATGTGTTCTTTGTAATTGTGTCTGCCAACAGCCTATTGTCTCCCATACTGACTGTCAATTATCTCAGATAGCCCTCGGGGGGGGGGGGGGGGGGGGGGGGGGGGGGCAGATCTACTGTCTGTTAAAGTAGAGATCTACCTGTCTGTTTCCCCCCCCCCCCCCCCCCCCCCCACGATCCCAAAAAGTGAACCTATTAAATTATTATTGATTTTAAATACATAGATGCTCTAGGGGGTTGCAAATTATGACCCGTGGGGAAATCTGAAAATGTTATGCAAATCAGGATGGCCAGCATTGTACTGAATAGATTATATTTTTTAAAGGTAATAAATATCTCATCAATCAATGTTCAGTTAACAATCAGATTTGGTACACATGTTCACAACAGGATGTTCTAAGGCCTACAGTAAAATTGTTGAATTATGATGAAATGTTTTGTGTGTTAGTTAGTTAGTTAGTTAGTTAGTCTTTCCTCTTGTGTCGAGTGCGGCACATAGGGCAGAGGTCGTGACTCTCCATGCACGGCGGTCCGTTGCAATCCGTTGTAGGTCTTGGATGTTTGAGTGGCCCATGAGCGAGCCTTCCCTGATGATAGTTCTACGTAGGGTTTCCCTTGGTCTTCCACGAGGTCTCTTCCCCTGTGGTGTCCAAATGAGGGCTTGGTAAGGAAGTCTTGATTTATCCATTCTAAGGACGTGGCCGACATAGTTCCAGCGGCGTTTTCGTATAAAATTAGACACATACTCTTGCCTGGATTCTTGCCTTATTTGTGTATTGGTTCGGAAATCTGACCATTTGAAATTTAGTATTCTTCTAAGGCATTTATTTTCAAAACTGTCTAATTTTGTGTCTAGAGTTTTCGTTGATTTCCAACTCTCGCATCCATAGGTTAGTACTGGAATCACACAAGAATTGAAGATCTTGAGTTTTGTGTGTTTGCTAAGTGTCTTTGATTTCCAGATGTTAGACAGTTTATTGAAGGCACTAGATGCCAGTGCTATTCTAAATGATATTTCTGGTGCGGTATCTCCTGTAGATGACATCTTGCTCCCTAGATAAGTGAAACTGTTGACTTTTTCTAGGCTGTTGTTGTTCAGCGTGATATCAACTGAACTGTTGGTAAGGTCTAGAATTTTTGTTTTTGCGGTGTTAATTTGGAGTCCAATTTGTTCTGAGAAATTCTGGAGTCGATTGATTTTTTCTTGGGCGTCTGTGTGTTCTGTTTTGTGTGTGGGACTGTTTAAATATTGAGTATTTTGAGCAAGCAGTTGTTTGTCTAATTAAATCACTTCTACTTTCCCTGCACAATATGCCATGGAAAATGTCATTCTAGTCAGACATTAGATGCTAAAGTTATCATATTTGACAATTTTTAAAAAATTCAAAACAAAACACACACACACACACTGCTGGCAGAAAAAAAAATTGAATTTAAAAAAAAAAAAAAAAAAGCCTTTTCCCTCTTAATTTTACATATCAAATGACTGCTAATGTCTCCAAGGAGTGTAGTGTACATATCTCTTTTTCTGACTTCTGTGCTATCTAGGAAGCCTTTCTTGATAGCTCTTTTGCTTTTTTTCTTCTTATCTAGGTTTCTTTGGAGGCTTCAACAAGATGAGTTTATATAATTTATATCCTACTCTCTACACTTTTTTTTTTTTTTTATCCACCGGGCACGGCAAGGTTTTCAAATAATTTTACTGTTAATGATGCATTATGACTTAAATATGCCATAGCACTCAAAATTGCATCTTCCACTGTTTTTATTTTAGCAAAATACTTCCATTTATACAACTACATCTGACTGCGATGTCATGTGGAAATCTGCTTCGTGAACCTTTATTCAGTTCACACGACACACTGTACTAACTGCACATATTACACTGCTTGATAATAACTTAATAGCAGACCTAAATCCATGAGGCTGAATCAACTTAGAAGACTTCTGCTCTGTTTACTGGAAAGATACTGCTCTTGTAATCTTGTAATTTAAATTTGTTGGTCTGTGGGAAAATATTCTTATTATCGGTTGTGTCCATGGCAAAGTGGTCAAGCCATTTGCAGGGGTTCTACCTTAATAAGCATGTTGTAGGCTGATGAAGGCTTGCTGAAATTGGATGTGTTAGGCACAGATATCACAGCCTGACTGTAAACTACAACACAACATACCAACCACTTTTTAAAAAGCAACTGCAAAGAGAAAAGCATCAACAGAAAATAAAGTCATAAAAATACTCACAAATCTTCACCATCTTTAATGTCAGGCAGATTAAGTTTGGTCAGTCGAGGGAAATCCATTTCTTCGACAACAATCCAATCATCCTTGATCTGGACAGAGGCGTCACGGTTGCGAATGGGCATCTTGCTGCGGTTCTCCTGCATCTGTTTACCAAACTGCTTTTGCCACTTTTTGAGAAGCCTCTGACGATCCCTTTCACGATTCTTCTGAGTCTTGGTCAGTACCTGCATGCTGGCCTGATTCTGCTGAAGGCGGCGTTCTCTATCACGCCGCTGACGATTCTATTTACCAAAGAAACTTGAGTTAACTCTTAGCTCTTTGCTGTTTTTAGAAAAGTTTTCAAACTATAAAATATGCATTATATTTTTTGTAAATTAAAAAGTAAATGGGTCTAGTGTCAGAGGTATGTGTGGCTTTGGATGTATCGTGGGTGATGATAGTGACTGGTGGACTAGCACTGAATGGCCTTACTGCATGTTCACAACATACGGACGACAGCCACTGGAAAGTTCAGAGTAGAGACTTGACTGGTCATGAGAGACCCACTAACCGAGCGTTAACAGGTTAGAGAGAGATAAAAACAGAGGTGAATAGTCTAGAAAGGAGAGTTAGCATGAAGACGTCTAAAAGACAGCATGGATACTGAATCGTGACATATATTAATTCATATAGCTTATTTAGAAATGGAATAACGGATAGGATTTTGAGAACTGTGTTAGTTTAGTCTCTGATTAGTTGTTAGCTTGACAGTATTCTAATCTCAGTACTGTTAATAGTTGTAAGTTATTCGTAACATATTGTGCAATTTTAGTTTGATACTTTTGTAAATATTTGCTGAATCACTGATAGCACAATTATCTGTTTGTTCAAGTCAGTTATTTAAGGGACATTGTGTTTGAGAAGAAGAAGAGAGCAATGTTTTGGGTGTTGTACCAAGGTGAATCAGCTCAATGTCTTGGTCTATCCAAGCATACTACTAGGGCCATGCATAGGCACAGCGGTTGAGGTGAACATAACAGGGGCTCCTGAAAGGGCTTGAAGCTGAGGTTTAGGGTTCGGACATGCTAACCTTTCAAGCAACTGTAAGGCCAATGCAAGGGTTCAAAGCCCTTCAGCAGCCTGTGGCAGGGTATGATAGCAGGCACCGCCTCTTGGGTAAACTACTGTTTTTTTTAATATTAAAAGTCAATGTGTACTCTCTGGCAGTGTTGTAGCTGTTGTGTGTTGATAGACATCCTGTCATACAAGTTGCCATAAGGCGGTTAGCAGATTGTGACAACTGGTCTGAAACTAGTTGATATGATCTGGTATTTAGGTACCCTGATAATGGCAAATGGAAGATGAATGCATTAAATGTACAACAGATCAAGCATAGGCAACATTTCTCAGGAAGAGAAATATTCTATGAAATACAGTGGTATCCTGGTATACGTCAATTTTCTAATAATTCCAACTGAGTATACGTCCTGTTTAGATGCAAACAATTTTGCTTGGTATAGAAATTTTGCTTGGAATTGGACTCGCAGGCGTCAAAACTAATCTTGGTAGGGAAAAAAGAGAGAGAGAGAGAGAGAGAGGGTGAGGGACAGAGAGAAACAGAGACACAGACAGACACGCACGCACATACATAGATACAAAAGAAAGAAAAAAACACAAGAATTTTAGGTTCTTGAAATGTTAATGAAAGGGGACTCTCTTTCCCAGCAACATCTTCTCCTCCCTTTTCAGAACCATCCCAGAAGGTGCTCAAATCTTCTCAGCAAAGGTAAAGTGAGGCGAAATTTTCATTTATTTCACCTAATTGTCTTTTTATTTTATGTATTTTAGTAGTAGGCAATGTCTAAATTCTTTTATCTGAAATGGGAATAGAAGGATTGAGGAAACAAGGATGTTCAAAAGAAACTGTCAGGTGAACGTTGATGAGAGAAGCCAAAGGTGCTAGTCTGGATTCTATCCATGATATCAAGGTGATTGCACAGGATATTATGGAATATAGAAATAGACAGTCAGCTCTATGTGCACATAATGGCACAATAGGACAATGAAAGAAAGCATTTTGATATAACCCCATTAACCAATAAGGGTACCAGGATGTATGTCCTGGGGAAGTAAAGATGGCCGGCGTAATGCTGACCACATTACCCACCTAGCACCGATTGGTCTGTAAAAATATGGGTGCTCTTCCCATATGCCCAAAGCGTCTAAGGCGTAAAAAAGGGATCATCACTTTACTTTTTACTTTACATCAACATATAATACGTCAATAACAAAAGGAATTTTTGATAGGAATGGATTAATCATTCTCTTTTTATTTCTTATGGGAACATTCGTTTAGTATACATCTTGTCTGATAAAAGTCCAAGGATCTTAAACAGATTTAAGTATGAATACTGAAGTATCACTGTATATCTATTTCAACTGAGGTCAAGAAAATTTTCTTAAAAGCTATAAAGAGCCAATATGGACAATAAACAAGCAACTAGAAAATGGAACTGAGTCTCTGGAAATGTGGATACACAGAAGAATAGGTCTTATTTCATAGAAAAAAATACAGAGGTTCTGCAGAGACTGTTAATGAAAGGAGAGTTACTTTAATAAATAAAATAAAAATGAGGCAACGGAAATATTTCGGCCACACTAAAAAACAAAAAACAAATTTATCTTCATAACCATTCAGGAGGAAAAAGTTGTAGGCAATAGAGAAAGAGGTAGACAAGGACAACTAAGTGGGAAGGAGAGTGTTGGCAATCCACTGCAGCTAACCTTCACTGTGGAAATGGCACTTTACTGACTGATTATTGAAAGTCAACCCTGTACTGCACTCAAGACATTCCCACACATGTTCTTTATCTTCAACAACCAGCGAAGAGTTCCAATTCAGATGGTACCAACAGAAGTTTGATTATATGTCCATCTGCCCTTCTCTCTGAGTGTTGAGTGTCCCCTGGTCACTTCCTGCCACACCAATCTCTCTACATGATAATGATCTATTCGCACTTCTGCATTGTTCACTTGCTCCCTAAGGGGCCTTGACCACTTCTAGCTGGTAAAGAAAGATGGGAAAAGAAAGGTTAAAGTGAATTTAGGGCCTATACTCCATTCACTAAATGGCAGGGCAAACCAGTTAACTTCATGTTAAGGCCCTTAGCCTTGGCTGGCAGCTGGTCTAAGAGGGAAACTCCCAACATGTATACAGATAGAACACTGCTCTTCTAATCCAACAGCTTTTACAGCGTGCTTTGTTTTAAATGTATTGGTATTACTTTTCCTTTGGAGTAAACAATGCAAGTCGTGAGAGGGATCATGATGCATGGGCAACACATGGTTTCTACAATACTGCTCAGGCTTTGCGCTATGCAGAGGAGGAATTTCTTCTTCTTCTTTGTGTTCACCAGCTGTACACTCTGGCGTAAAGTTCTGGTTGTTCGTCCACTTCTGGACTGCAGTCATGCTCCAGAACCTGAGTGTTGCATGTGCATCAGTTTTACAGATCTGATTCAATTGAATGCAGACTGCTGGTTCCTTGCCTCTCAGGCAGATGCACTCCGACTTCAAAGGAAGCTCCCCAGTTAGTCGACTCTTACGACATGCTTTTGGGGAGGCAGTGGGTCTATTCTTGTTTTCCCCACAATAGGGCCCCGGAACCCACACGGGGGAGGAGGAATTTGATTTCCATGCTTCCCCAAAGCACAGTATAACACTATTATCCGGAAAGATGCAAAGGTACCAACTACAAAGCAAACTCCAATCTGGTCAAGTTAAAAAAAGTAAAGTAAAGATCCCTTTTCACGCCTTTAGGCGCATCGGGCATATGGGAAGAGCACCCATATTTTTACAGACAAATCGGCACTAGGTGGGTAATGTGGTCAGCATTACGCCGGCCGTCTCTACTTCCTCAGGACAGCCCATCCTGGTACCCATTTGAGGCTGGGTCAACCTGCTATGTCCCATACCATGATAAAAATCTACGCAGCCTGCAGTCGGTTTCGATCGCGGTACGTTGGATTACGAGTTAGCCACGGACACCGCCAATTTGGCCAAGAGGACAGAGAAATAGGACATTACACACAAGTACTATAATTCAGTCATCCAACAGACAAGCCTTAACTCTTTCAGTCCCAAGGAGCGCAGCATACATTTGTAGCTTCATAACTATAAGCCCAATGAGCACATGAGGTGCTGATTTAACCTCTGTATTTTTTTACCCCTTGGGCCTCTGATGCTGAACCTCCTGGGAATTGAGGAGTTAATCCCTGCAAGCATAAATAATCCACAAACCTGCTGAAAGAGCCGGCCTCGTCGCTGATAGATAGGTTTCTGCACCCTTGAGGTATCCACCAACTGAAAGGTGTTTTCATCTTCATCATGGTAGTAAGCATACTGGCTACCACTGCCAAATGCTGAGTTGTACTTGCCTATGTATAGCAGCAAAACAAACATTATCAAATGTGTGTAATATTAATGTTCATCATCTTGTTCAGTTGAGGAGTGGCTGGCTGAGTGGTTACATCTGGCTCTCAGACGGGAGACCCAGGTTTGACCCCCCATTAAGGTGATGGAGTTTTTCTATAAGAGGGCTAACATGCACAGTCTGTGGTGACAGCACTAGCCACGGAGCCCTAAATCCTCAGGCTCACGACCCCCCCCCTCCCCCATACCGCCCTAAAAAAGTGGTAAAACAGAAAGGAGTAAATTTTTTTTTTTTTTTAAATCTAAATCAGTTGTAACTATTTATGTAATTGTTAACTATGCATGTCAGTTGTAACTATTCACATCGGTGTAAATCATTTTATAAACCTCAACTGTTAAAAGCAATAACTATTCAAAGCAAATGTTAACTATTCATTTAAATCAATGTTAACTGTTCAGAACGATGTTAACAATCCACGTCAGAGTTAACTATCCACATTGATGTTGCTTTCCACACTGATGGTAATATCTAAATCAAGGTTAACTAAAAAGTTATTTGCGTATCCATTATAGGACATTGCAGAACTAACCCCAGCATTTTTTATTTGGCTGTTGTCGTTCTTCAAGGTAAATTTTACGTTAAGTAGTTTGTCAGTGGTCAGCTTTCGGTATCATTGTTGAAACCAACGCAAAACAAATTGTCTGTAGCTGGGATCGTACCTGTCACCCTGGCATTTGTAACTAGTCACAACAATTGTAACTATCCACATCGTATTTACTATGTACATTGATGTAACTATCCACGTCGATGTTACTATCTACATCGATGTTACTATCCTAAAAAATGTTAATATCCATATTGATGTAATCATCCACATCGATGTTGCTATCCACATCGATGTTAATATTAGGGCTGTACCGAATAGTGATTTTCACTATTCGGCTGAATACGAATAGCTGGACCAACTATTCGGCCGAATATGAATAGTGAATCATCATCATCATGTGCTTTGCCGGCTGGCATGGGCGATTATGACTCGCCACAATCTGCGATCTCCTGCAGCATGTATTAGTTCGTGTGCTGACACACCTACATGAAAAACCTTCGTTCCATGTTGTCAGCATTAGGCCAGCTTTTTGTCTCACTGAAGGTATTTCCAGCTGTACTAAACAGGAAAATACGACAAATACAGAGAGTCAAAATGAAAACCCGCAAGGCGAAACATCAAAAACAAAAATAACGCCGACGAAGAAAACAATGCCGTCCTTACAATTCGCCCAGCCCCCCGCGAGCTCACGAAACCTGACGACGGGCGGTCAACGCCAGAAGATCAAACAACAAAGACAATCAAGAAACCGAACGTCGATCAAAACATTCAGCCGCTGCCGTTTCCACGAGACGATGAAAGAACAGATACGACACCCATAAATGATGACGAACTCCGGTTATTTTAAAGAATCAACGAAGAGGACACTCCACTCAAAGAAATCAAGCCGACAACACTAGAACACTTGCTTTTCTGCCCCTCTTACATTTTTAAGTGTTGCATTTTGTTTCTACAGCAACACACCTAAAAACACTATACTCGCAACACATGCAAGATGGAAATAAAGGGGCACTTGGTACGCTCGTAGGTGGTGCACAAAGATAACGCTTCACAGTATAAACCAAGGTGGGAAGTCTTGATGTTTTTTTTCCACCAGTCCAGAAACGGTTGTGAGGTAACCACTATTCGTATTCAGCCCGACCGCAACAATTCGGCCGAATACCGAATAGTTATTGGGTCCACTATTCGGCCCCGAAGCGAATACGAAGCGAATATTCGGTACAGCCCTAGTTAATATCCACATAAATATTACTATCCACATGGATGTTAATATCCATATTGATGTAACAATCCACATCAATGCTATTATCCACTGATAATATCCACATCAATGTTTCTATGCACATTAATTTTACAATCCACATCAATATTAATTTCCATACTGATGTTAACTATCTACATTTATCTATGTTGAAAAAAAAAAGACTTCTATTGTACACAGTACCACTGCCTGCGTCTATGGGATGTACATTCCCACACAGAAGAAACAAAACCATTTTCATTAGCAGTCCCCATGTAATAAACAGGCCGGATAATTATTTATAACAGTGATAAGAAATCCACATACTACAATGTGCTTTTCTACATCTTGCATGAGTTCTTGTAACTAAGCTGTCCTTCCCTGTGTGGGTTACAGGTTTCCCTTGTGGGTACAACAAGAATAGACCAGGTGCATTCCTAACAAGTATGTTATACGAGTCAACTAATTAGGAACTTCCTTCGAAGTCAGAGCGCATCAGCCCGGTTGGCAAGGAACAACCAACCCCAGACAAATAGGCCAGTATAACAGATGTACACGCAAAACTCACCAGGCCCTGGCACAAAGCCAGAGTCTAAATGGACAGACAACCAGAACTTTCCGCCGGAGCTTACAGCCAGTGAACAAAGAAAAAGATGAAGAACAGGAGTAACTAAGCTAATGTATTAGCCCCCATAATAGTCTCTGAAATAACTAAATCCTAACCAATGCAGAACTGTCAATGATCAATTTCTCATAAATGAGTTGTTCAACTTACCAAGGTAGCGTTTGTCCTGGTAAGTATTGCCAGTCCAGTCTGAAACCTTGGGAGAGAATTCAGTATTTCAACACATAAATGTACTACCAGCAAATTGCCAGGAAAATTAGTCCTCTTTTCTTCTTTTTGTTGTCAACTCCCAATGACCAAATCGAATCAAGCCTTTTAGAGATTTATTCAGGCTGATTGCACTGCCCATCAGGGGCCAACAGGTCTAAACAAACAAGGACATAGCACCAGAGAGCTGATCCCTTGCCTTCCAGTCCAGAGGTAATGGGTTCAAATCTGCAATGGGACAGATTTTTTCTTCAAAACTGACTTTGGCCCTCAGGTCAACCCTAATCCTCAACCAAAGAAAGTAAAATGTCTTTCGAATTAAAAAAAAAAAAAGCAGCCTGAATATGTTTTCAGTTTTACTTAAGATCAGGGCTTTTTAGGCAAATTTTGCGTTCAGTAGTTTGCCACTCAGCTCAGCTCTCTGTAGCACTGTCTAAACCAACGCAAGACATACTGTCCGCAGCCATACCTGAACGCAGTACCCCACCATTACGAACTGTGTTCACAACGCCGAAGGAATAGTTTACAAAAAAATTATTATCTTTACCAAAATGACAGCAATGAAAAAAAAAAACAATATTACTGTACAGCATGATCAAAATAGAATATATTTAAGAAGACTGTCTGTAAAACAGCTGCAAAAGTATACTGCAGTAGGAAACATAGAGGTCAAGACTGGGTTAAGGCAAATAGTCAGCCAGACACTTTAACATTTGATTTAAATTTTTAAAAGTTAGCATCCCTCAGAAACAAGAAAAAAACAAGGTACATTTTCTGAGTTTGATAAAACTAAAAAGCATTTGCAAAGAATTGCTACACAGTATGCAAATGGCTACTGGATCCAGTTATGACAGAACATTCAAAATGCTAGCAATAATATAAATATCAGAGGCAGTATTTAGGGGATAACGAAAGCTACTGGTCCAAACAGTCCACCAGAGGACCTGATTGAGGAAATTATTACAGATAAGAAGAAGCAGATGGATTGATGGGTAAAACACTATCTGGAATTATACTTAACTAAGACCAAATTGATATATGACCTGACTATCTGGAGAAATGTCTAAAAATGACAGAAGGTTGCCATGCTAATGATGAACTTATGATCCATTTCTCTAACAGTATTTCTTGTCTTCCTGTTAATACTGTTATATTCCAAGTATGCTGGCTCTCCTCCGAACTTCGTCTCCATATTATGGCGGCCAAACAAATACCCTAACAAGGCCTCAGTCGTGTGTAAAATGCGGAGTGCCTGCCGAAGAACAAATCGCGGCAAAACTAGGATTGCTTCCGAACAACGGGCCAATATTATCGAGGGCAAACAAATACTCTAACAGTGTCTCAGCGATATGTTAATTGCAGACCTGTTTCTGCGACTATGCTGCACCGCTGACAGTATCCCCAGTGCCACTACGCTCCACATTTTACACACAACTGAGGCCCTGTTAGGGTATTTGTTTGGCCGCCATTATTTGTGGACGAAGTTCACACATTTTAATTTCTGATCTTTTCTCAGAGACTATCATTTTATGTTGTTTTTGTGTGTGACTTCTTGCTACAATAAAAGCATAGAAATGAAAGAACCACCTTTGAATTAAATTTATATTAGGTGTATCATGATGTCTCTAAAGTCTTAACTGAAAAAAAAAAAAGCAGAGAAGTTTCCTGTCATTGTTGCAGTAGTCAAGGTCCGAGACTCAAGTCTTGCACTTATGAGTCCATACCTGGTCATGCTGTGTGCCACTGGTAGTGATGTATTTCCAAAATCTTCGGTCTCATGTTCAGAATCCATTCTTATTCTGAGCTATATAATATTATTTTCGATTTCAAACCTGTCCATCATCGCATCATTATCATCTCTATCAATATCATATCACCATCTGTTTCTCTGCCGTATGCTTTGCAACCTTTAAAAAACTTAGAAAATTTAAAATAATAATATACTAAAACATACCTTTCCTAACCGCACATCTTTAGAGAAAGGTTGATATGGCATATCTCTGAATTTCTCGGGGATCTCATTCGGTCCCCATCCGTTGGGATTATCCTGAATCTTAGGAGGTATAAAGTGCGCCGCCGACATTGTAAATTTATCTGTTTCTGGTAAACAAGCAGTCTTTGTGCAATCAATTCAGCCGAAAACTCTAGACACAAAATTAGACAGTTTTGAAAATAAATGCCTTAGAAGAATACTAAATTTCAAATGGTCAGATTTCCGAACCAATACACAAATAAGGCAAGAATCCAGGCAAGAGTATGAGTATGTGTCTAATTTTATACGAAAACGCCGCTGGAACTATGTCGGCCACGTCCTTAGAATGGATAAATCAAGACTTCCTTACCAAGCCCTCATTTGGACACCACAGGGGAAAAGATCTCGTGGAAGACCAAGGGAAACCCTACGTAGAACTATCATCAGGGAAGGCTCGCTCATGGGCCACTCAAACATCCAAGACCTACAACGGATTGCAACGGACCGCCGTGCATGGAGAGTCACGACCTCTGCCCTATGTGCCGCACTCGACACAAGAGGAAAGACTAACTAACTAACTAAATAATACACAGTTAAAATAAGTGTTAGTAACCCACTTGTCCGGTTTATATACACAGTAAGCTATACTTACTCAATGCATTAAAATTATCAATGATAATCGGTTTTTTTCTTTGGGGGAAAAAAAACAACATTAGGATGCATTGAAAAATGTTGTTACAAGCACTTTGCATATATATATAGTTTTGATTAATGTGTATGCTCATTTGATTGTACACTGTCAAAACAAGTAAAAGTAAGGACCCTTTTCTAAACCTTCAGGTATTGGGCATACAGGGCTAGACCTATATTCTATATTTTATAGTCAGCACTCAGTGGGTGATGTGGTCAATATCACCCCGGCAGCCTACCGAAAGAGGCCATTTTGTCTTCACAGACGGGTCTATTGTACCGGTACACAGAGTGTATGGGCATTCGCCTGCCTAGTCTGAAAAAAAGAGGAGGGGTGTGGAAGGTGGTTGTAAGACTCTCCATCTTGGAGTGCGAAACCATATTACTATTTGCCTGATTTATTCTCAATATCTTTGCCTTCTTCTATTTCCCTTACTTGTCAGCTTTCCCTCACGAAGAGCTAGGCATGTCATGTCTCTAAATGTTGCCTTTACTAAGTTAATAATGTTCTGTGGGATTCCACAGTGCCCCACTAATTTCCACAGAGAATCCGTCAATGATGTCAGGACATTTCCATAGTCTATGAATTCAGTTAAATTCTTTGCTAGATTATTATACGTAGTGTGGCTATCTGGTCAGTACATGATCTGTTTGGTCGAAAACCTGCCCGTTTCATCTCTTAGCGTATTATCAATAGCATCTTTTATTCTTTCCCAACTAATCCTACTCAATATATTTTCAAGAACTAATAAAAACATAATTCCTCAATAGTTCTCGCACTGCTAAAGATGCCTTTTTTTTAGGCAGTATCACAAGCTATCTTTGTTCCCCAGTCTTCTGGTATTTCTTGGTCTTCCAGTCTACTAAATAATATATGCAGACATTGTATTACATTACTTAAATTAGCCTTAATGGCTTTTGCAGGAATACCGCATGGACCTGCTGCCATTCCTTCCTTGGGAATATTGACAGCTTTTCTAATTTCCTTTTAAACTGGTATCTCTCAACTATTACCCAATTCCATTTCTAAAGGCTGGATATCTGGAGGAACCTCTGGGACTGGTCTATTTAGAAGTATTTGAAAATACTCAGCCCATATATTCATTTGATATTTAGTGTTGGTAAGTATCTTTTCTTGACTATTTTTTGATTGATCAAGTTGGTGAACTATATTTATCTACTAATTTCATCGTGTTACTGCAATGGTCTGTAATCATCTCTGAGGTCTCCTTTCGCCGCTGTTGTCACCGCATCTTGTGCTAGGTTATCTAAATATTGTGCTTTCTCTGCCCTCAAAAGCCTCCCAACTTCCTTATTAGCTTCTATGTATTTGTCCTGAGCCCTAACTTTAGCAGCTTTAGTTTGGCTGTTGTTCAAATCTTGATTTTTTTTTAACTTTTCGTTTCTTATATCATTTTTGTTCTGGTCTTATCCATGCTTCTTACCAAGGACTTCAACACAAGATTCCTTCCAGATTCCCATGATGTGATCCCAGCGGTTTTCAGTGTTTACAGCATCGACTACATGCCGCAACACGTGATACTTATTAGAGACTGTAACTGAAAAACATTTCTTGTCTTCGTTATCCCTGAAATCAGCTATGTTATAATGGTTTCTATGATTATAAGATGTTATATATTTAGTTGAAATAATCTCTAAGTTGTGTTATGAAATCACCTGTTTCTCTTTCATCAGTGGATTGTATTTACCCTCTGACGTTGTTTAGTAAACATTGTTGTTAACTCCTTAATGTTCTTAGATTATAGGGCGTCTCTCTCTCTCTCTCTCTCTCTCTCTCTCTCTCCCTCTCTCTCTCTTTCTCTCTCTCTCTCATACGCACGGCATCTTTTAGATGACTTTTAGTATATATCAACTTCTTGTAATGTTTTGCAAGACTGCACACCCAGCGAATGCACATGTTAGATATCACCCATTGTTATTTATGTGTTAAACATACTCCAAGACTACCATAAGGACTCTGAACAGCTATTACAATCCCGTATTATGACACACCATAGACGCACAAAGTGATTCAACTGTCATTTGACAAATGTACTGAACATTACTTCCCTTTGTTAACTATTTCAAACATTTTGCAGATATATAAAATATAGCTGACCGGGTTTATTCCTGAACCCATATATGGTCGCTAGGTTCATACCAAGGAGGCTGAAGGTTGGGTGAAAGCTCTCAAAAGCTTCTTTGGCAGAGAACTAAACAAGTTTCGGTGGACCAAGAGGGAAGAAAAGACGTTGAGAAAACCTGACAACAATACTACTCGAATGACTTTACAGTGGAACACACAAGGGCATAGAAATAAAGGAAGACCAAAAATATATGGATAAGGGAGCTGGAGAGTAAATTTTAACAGATGGGGAGGATATGGGGAGAGCTGCATTGGATAGCGAATGATAGAGCGTCTTTGCGTGAGTTGCTTAGGGCATATGCTCCATTGGGGGTTAGAAAGGCAGAAGTAGATAGGTAAAAGTCACCTAAAAGATATGGTGTGTGTTTGTGTGGGTGTGTGTGTGTGTGAGAGACAGACAGAAAAAAAAAAGAACGAGAAAAGAGAGAGAGAGAACGAGAGAGAAAGCCCTAAGAAGAAAGCCCTATGATCTAATAACATCAGGAAGTTAGCAACAATGTTTACCAAACAGAGTCAACATCGTCACCTACCAATTAGCCTCACTGCTTAGATACCATCATGTCTCCTTTCCAACAAAACAGCAAGTGATTAATAGCATCTCTAAACCTACTTTATGTTGTCAGTGCCAAACATGGACAATGAATAGGGCACAAGAACAGAAAATAATTACATGTACAATGAGCTGTCTCCGCAAGGTCACTAACAACACTACACGAGACATGGTTATGAATACCAGCATATGCAAGAAAAACAGGTGATTTCGCAACATGGCTCAGAAATGATTTCAACTATCCAGGAAAGCAACGCAAACGGTTAGGGCATGGTGTTTGGTTTCACAGAGAATGGTTGTATGTAAAAGCTGTTGTGTCAGTCAGTTATAAATGCTGTTAGCTGTTAAAAGCGAGTGTATATGGCGGTAGTTAAATGTAAGACAGTAAGGACAGTAGCAAAACAATTTTTGATATTGTAAATTGAGGATTTCAAATTGCAATAAGCTGTTTGCATTAAGTTGTGCTTGCAAAAAGTCGTGTTCTGACCTTAGGCTAGTTGTCTAGGAGATGATGTGTCTAGTGGATGATCTTAGCACACATTCTTACGATGACATAACTGGGACAAGCCGACCGAAGTACGATAAAGTTTATTAACATCTCATTACTTACATATATTGTCCCGTCCATGTCCTAATTCACACCACATTGTGCAGACGCCAACACGCTGACTTCTCACACATTCATCGACCAGAGTTCGGCGCCTTCAGGTCCACATGGCAGCATAGATGGATCTGGTCATTGCATCAAGCTTCACACAACTTGGCTTGTCTGGACTTGGCTTCGATGGATGTTGTCGTCTAGTCTTCCTCTCGCAACAATCACTCGCATGTCCTCTCGTTCTGACGGTCAACACATACTAACTGATCAGACTGGGGTCTGACTTTATACCCAATGTTTGCTCCACATGGCCACACGTGGTTGTTCTTGGGTTCCATGTGGCAACCTGTGATCGTTCACCCAACCTTCCCAATCAGGGTGAAAATATCTCCCACTACACAAATAATGATGAGAGTAAATTGCGACGAGTCGTATGATATTCTGTACCTATGCTAGTATCAGTATTCAAATGTTTGCCATCTCTGCACATTTGATGCACGTAACTGGAGGAAGTTACTTATACGCGACTGGATTAAAAAAAAAATGAATTCTTACAATTCAAGTTTTATATTAAAACATAGGGAAGTGGAGATTATGGGAAGATGAAGCTACCGTCAGAGCATCAGAGATTAGCTCTGAAAGCCATATAATCTTTTTTTTTTAAAAGGCGTAACAGGCATGTTTAGGGCTTAAGAATAAAGCTAAGCTAATGCGTTTGGTGTCCGAGTCCAATGACTGCTATGAAGGTGAACCAGATCTAGAGTAAATTCTATAGGCCCGCTTAATTCTCTGAAAATGTTCCTTTATTCTTGACCGAATCAGGATCCATATTTTCCATGATAAAAACTGCTACTGTTTAATCTGCTTTATTCTCACTTTGAGTATTCTAAGCACTATTCATAGCTTTTAAGATACGAAACATTATTTCAATATTATCAGTTTGGCGGGGCGGGGGGGGGGGGGGTGGAAATGTATACTGTCATAATTACAATTTAATTTTAGACACAACAAAATATTTTACAAAAGTGATAGTGCCGGCCACGCTCCGATCCTTCAGCATTCGCAACTGAAGCTTACTAGTCAGGTTGGCGTCCGACAGCTATGCCGCCGGTGAACCAGGCTAGTGT